CGAGATAGGCAGAAGGAAGGAAGTGGGGGTGGGGGGTGGGAATATGAAGCAGGCAGGAAAAGATGGGGGGCAGACACAGAACAATGCAAAAGCGTGGGGTAGTTCTCCATCCATCCTTTCTAAAAGGCTTTAATGAGCAGCTTCCTCCAGCAGGTTTCTACGAGATGCGTGTTAGCATGGGCTTATCCCTTAATTTCCTAAGGAATAGGTTTCTGGATGATCAATGGGTTTGGTGTGGTGTGCACGTGTGGGTGCGGGATCTCAAGGCTGATTTCTGCCCGCACTGTCCTTAGGTGAATTTTTTGGTTACTATCCAAGCTACTCACTGCCTCTCAGAGCCCCATCTTCTGAGGCTCCGAGCCCTTGGCTTCTCAGAGGAGCTGACCGTGGAGTTGCACACACTGTGTGACTGTAACTGCGGTGACACCCAGCCCCGGGCTCCCCACTGCAGTGATGGCCAGGGGCTGCTGCAATGTGGGGTGTGCAGGTGAGGATTCCTGCTTCCTTTCACCCATGTGACTGTCCACACATGACCAGCCCCGGTATCCCTCCTCTGCCTTCTGTCCTCCCACTGGCCATCTCCAGACCTCTTTTGCCAGACGTCCCAAGACTCCATCCTGATTTTCATGTGCAGCTTCCCAGATGTGCCAAGACCCTCCCCTCCCCCCGAACTCCCTCTGCTCTCTTGCTCCTTGGTGCTCAACTATACACCGGCATCCGTTCAGCCACTCATCTCTCTCCAGTTCTTTTGAGAGCTTAGGTTTAGAGGATCCTGGGAAAGATAGGTCAAGGGATGGTCAAACTCTCTGACCCACCTTTCCCTCCTCTGGCTCTGCCTTCCCCTCCCAGATGTAACTCTGGCCGTCTGGGTCGACTCTGTGAATGCTCTGAGGCTGAACTGTCCTCCCCAGATCTGGAATCTGGGTGCCGGGCCCCCAACGGGACAGGGCCCTTGTGCAGCGGGAAGGGACGGTGTCAGTGTGGACGCTGCAGCTGCAGTGGACAGAGCTCCGGGCCCCTGTGCGAGTGTGATGATGCCAGCTGTGAACGACACGAGGGCATCCTCTGTGGAGGTACCTGCAGACTTTGGGGGAAGGGTGGGGTCAGAGTGGCTCCCAGGATATTTCGGCTCTGGGAACATCATGGCACTAAGGGCAAGTATCAGACTTTGGTGTAGGAGTTGCAGCTATCTGGCACACTTGAGAGGGAATTGGACGCACAGAACACTTCAGCTCTAGGCATCCCGTGGTGGCATGTGATGTCCTTTGTGTGTGAGGAGTATGGCTGTCACCCTGAGCGTGATTCTGTCCCAGGCTTTGGCCGCTGCCTTTGTGGAACGTGTCACTGTCATGCCAATCGCACGGGCAGAGCGTGTGAGTGCAGTGGGGACACGGACAGCTGTGTCAGTCCTGAGGGAGTGCTCTGCAGTGGGCATGGACGCTGCACGTGCAACCGCTGCCAGTGCCTGGATGGCTACTACGGTGCCCTGTGTGAGCAGTGCCCAGGCTGCAAGACGTCATGCGAGAGACACAGGTGAGGCCTCCCGTCTTGCAACTTGGGAACAGGGGCACGGCGGGGGTCGCTGAGCCACTCCCACCTGCCCACCTCTTTCTGCCGTGTGGTGTGGGGAGCACAGCTGCCCAGCTGGTAACTTCTTGGTGTCCACTGGACAGGGACTGTGCAGAGTGTGGGGCCTTTGGGACCGGTCCCCTGGCTACCAATTGCAGTATCGCTTGTGCTGATGCCAACGTGACCCTGGTTTTGGACCCTATCCCGGATGATGGCTGGTGCAAAGAGAGGACCTTGGACAACCAGCTGTTCTTCTTCCTGGTGGAGGAGGAAGCCAGAGGCAGGGTCATACTGAGAGTGAGAGCCCAAGAGAGTAAGTGGGCAGAGATGCTGCGGACGTGCCAGAGGGAGCCCCGGAAGTTTGATGGGTGGGGCTTCAGAACTCTGGGCTTGGGCAGGTGAAGATAATGGGAAACCAGGTAGGGTTTGAAGCAGAGCAGTGAGTCCAGGCAAAAGCAGAGGTGATGGACCAAGTGCACAAAGCTAAGGCCCTGGGCACCACAGAGATAACCTCGGACCCTGCTGGGTTCCCTTTGTTTTCAATGACAAGCAGGGCTAGGGAAGCTGGACACATTGTGGGCAACCGTTGATCAACCCCTATGCCCCAGCCCCCAGAAGTCTGTGTTGTTTCTTCCCCACAGGAGTAAATCACACCCTGGCCATTGTGCTGGGTTGCGTGGGGGGCATCGTGGCAGTGGGACTGGGGCTGGTCCTGGCTTACCGGCTTTCTGTGGAAATCTATGATCGCCAAGAATATAACCGCTTTGAGAAGGAGCGGCAGCAGCTCAACTGGAAGCAGGTAGGGAGACTGTGTCCTACCCCACTGGGCTGGGTTTTGCTCGCTTTCCCTGGTTAAGACCTCTGGTCTCTGCTTCCCTGCCCCACCCCCAACCTGGACTCTTCCGACTTAGGTCATCCCCTTCACTTTGGTCTGTGCGTCCTCTGCCCCACCCCTCTGCTAACTTCCATCAGCTCTGGGGGTGCTGCTCAAGTTCCAGGCCGGCCTCTTAGGACTAGGTAAAGGAGCAGTCGGGAGGTTTTTCCTCATTTCCCATCTTCTTCCTCAGGACAGCAATCCTCTCTACAGAAGTGCCATCACGACCACGGTCAATCCCCGCTTTCAGGAGGCAAGGAGTCCCTTTCTCTGAAGGGGGAAGACGCACACTCATCCCAGGACTCTTCTTTTTCTCAACAGCCCGGTAGGGCACTGCTGAGGAATGGTCACCACCTACCTCCTTCTCAGAGTGACAGTCGAGGGCGGCCTCCCACTGCAACCTTGCTTCCCTACTTCACAAGGAGTGTGGGCTTAGTTCCCCCGCTCCCTGTATACAATAAAGAGTCTGACCTCAGAGCACAGCTGTCATCTTGCTTCACCCAAGGCCAAAGCAGGCTGTGGAGCCTGGGCCTCGGGAAAACTTGCTCATTCCTCCTCCTGCCACCTGAGGGTGGGGAGAGGTCCTCTAACCTGGTGTGCAGGAGATTCAGTATGTGGCTGCCTGGGAAGTGGCTGGTCAGGGTGGGCTAGTGAATCCTCCGGTCATGCATTTGCAGGAGGACTACAGAACCACACTTGGAGAAACACAGCTGGTACTTGACCTTATTTTGTTCTGCTGTGCATGTTTTTTCTCTTATTCAGAAGTGATATCCTGTTTTCACTTCTACTCGTTGCTCCTGTGGAGTTTTACATGGTGGTTTCTCGGATGCAGGACATCTGGGGTGGTTATATTTGGGGGAAAAAAGGATAACCACTTTGGCCCCAAAGAAAAGGTTTCCCAAAAAAGAGATAGTATGTAGAAAAGCCCCATTTTCTTTTTATTTAAATATCCTAAATATATCACGAAGGAACATACACTGCACTTTAATGGTAAAAAGATACAAGTTTATAACATCTTATAAAAACTACCATTTAAAAGTGATCTTGTTCATTTGATATTCCCCTCCCCCAATAGCAAAATAAGTATATTAAAAAAAAAAAA